ACACTCAGCAGCAGAGTAGCATAGCTCCCTGCCCAAAATCCAAGACTCCACAAGCCCACTTCTTCCTCTTCCCTGGAGAGAGAAGGCCAAAGTGACCAGACTGCTCCCTTGCAAATCTGCCCCTCTCTGAATACACCATCTGTTTCCTTCCCATGGAGCAGAGCATGGCGGGTGGACCAGACTCCTCGGGTCTGTCACAATTTGAGCATGATTAGATTGAGTCTTTTATAGGAGAATTCTGCTGATGTAGTCCCAAAGTTGTGAATGAATGATAGACCTCTTCCATCCTGGCTCCATCTCAGTTTCCTGGCCAGATGTTGACCTTTCTTGATTGGTGTTAGCCTTACAATAATAATAATAATAATAATAATAATAATAATAATAATCTTTATTTGTGACCCCGCCACCATCTCCCCAATGGGGACTCTGAGCGGCTTACATGAGGCCAAGCCCAAACCTCAATTACAATAAAGAAAACCGAAACACAAACGCAAAATGCGAACAATAAACAACAACATCATAATTAAATAAAACACATGAATACATAACAATATGAAAAATGAAAAATATACACAGGCACTATAATAATGGGCGGGTGACATGTAGTAATCAGGAAGACAAACTGATTAAAACTAATTAAAAAGTCGGGCGAGATAAAAGAGGGAAGCAGGTAATTTACGGAGGAGGGCTCATTCCAGCGGGAGTTGTGGAAGCAAGCTTTCCCATGGGGGGGGGGGCGTATACTCCAATGACAGACTTGGGCGATCCCTCGTTGGACGAGTAAGATGGTCTTCCATTATGTGTTTCCTTGTGGGTTCGTAGGTGGCTGTGGAGCCCTATTCTTGACCCGCATCTTCTCCCACAGTGAGGGCATTGGTTTCCAGGTGGAAGGCACTCCCGGTTGGGGTTGGCTTGATGCGCCTTTCTCCTGGCACGTTTCTCTCTTTCGCCCTCCACTCATGCCTCCTCGAATTCTGTAGCACTGCTGGTCACAGCTGACCTCCAGCTGGAGCGCTCAAGGGCCAGGGCTTCCCAGTTCTCAGTGTCTATGCCAGAGATTTTAAGGTTGGCTTTGAGGCCATCTTTCAATCTCTTTTCCTGTCCACCAACATTCCGTTTTCCGTTCTTAAGTTCAGAGTAGAGCAGCTGCTTTGGGAGACGGTGGTCAGGCATCCGGACAACGTGGCCGGCCCAGCGGAGTTGATGTTGGAGGACCATCGCTTCAATGCTGGTGGTCTTTGCTTCTTCCAGCACGTGACGTTTGTCCGCTTGTCTTCCCAGGAGATTTGCAGGATTTTCCGGAGGCAGCGTTGATGGAATCGTTCCAGAAGTTGCATGTGACGTCTGTAGACAGTCCACGTTTCACAAGCATATAGCAGGGTTGGGAGGGGAATAGCTTTGTAGACAAGCACCTTGGTATCCCTACGGATGTCTCGGTCCTCAAACACTCTCTGCTTCATTTGGGAAAATGCTGCGCTCGCAGAGCTCAGGCAGTGTTGTATTTCGGCATCGATGTTGACTTTGGTGGAGAGGTGGCTGCCAAGGTAGTGGAAATGGTCAACATTTTCTAATGTTACACCAGTAAGCTGTATCTCTGGCATTGAGGAGGGGGTGGCTGGTGACTGCTGGAACAGCACTTTGGTTTTCTCGATGTTCAGTGACAGGCCAAGCTTCGTGTATGCTTCTGCGAAGGTGTTGAGAGCGGCTAAACACCTCCAACGACAGAACCCTGAGTCAGAGCAATCATGTGGGATTATATACCTACTCGTCAAAGGCGCAGCAGAAGAGCCAGGTTTTAAGCTTCTTTTTGAAGACCTCAAGGGAAGGGGCTTTCCTAATTTCTCCAGGCAGTGAGTTCCAGAGTCGGGGAGCCACAGCGGAAAAGGCTCTCTCCCTTGTACTCACTAGACAAGCTTGAGCAACTGGCAAGGGCGAGAGAAGGGCCTCCCCGGAGGATCGGAGGGCCCGAGATGGTTCATGTTGGGAGATACGGTCACAAAGGTAGGCGGGTCCCAAACCATTTAGGGCAGTGGTTCTCAACCTTTCTAATGCCGTGACCCCTAAATAAAATTCCTCATGCTGTGGTGACCCCCAACCATATTTTCGTTGCTACTTCATAACTGTAATTTTGCTACTGTTATGAATTGTAATGTAAATATCTGATATTCTGGATGTATTTTCATTGGTAGAAATAGAACATAATTAAAGCATAGTGATTAATCACAAAAACAATATGTTTGTGGAAGTATGGACAAGGGATGGTGGGATCTGCAGTACCTTCAGTTGGTTTACCTCTGACATCCACAGTCCACTGTGACTCCCACGAATTACAGACCTGGACCAAACATGGCACACAAAAAATATGGAGGGGATTGGGAGGAATTGACAGTGATTTATGGAAGATGTACATCCGGAGAGCACTGTGAACCCAAATGACTATGGATCTGGACCAAACTTGGCACAAATATTCAGTATGCCCACAATTGAACACTGGTGGAGTTTGGGAAAAATAGATCAAGACATTTGGGAGTTGCAGTCACTGGGATGTATAGATCCCCTGCCATCGAAGAGCATTCTGAACTCCAACAATGAAATTGAACCAAACACGGCATACAGAACACCCAGGACAAGCAAAAAACACTGGAGAGGCATGAGGAAAATAGACCTTGGCATTTGGGGGTTGCTGGAATGTATAGTTTCCCTGCCATTTAAAGAGCATTCTGAACTCAAACAGAAATGGAATTAAACCAAACTTGGCATACAGAAATCCCATGCCTAACAGAAAATACCAAAGAGGTTTGGGGAAAATAGACCTTGGCTTTTGGGAGTTCTGGGGATATATAGTTTCCCTGCCATTAAAGAGCATTCTGAACTCAAACAGAAATGGAATTAAACCAAACTTGGCATTCAGCCTCAACAACAACAACAACAAAAACGAGCTGGGAGAGACCCCTTGGGCCATCTAGTCCAACTCCCTTCTGCCTTCATGCATGAAAAGCACAATCAAAGCACCCACGACAGATGACCACCCATAGATAATAATAACAAAAACAACAGATTTGGAAGGGACCTCTAAAGGCCATATAGTCCAACCTCCTTCATTCTACTTTCATGGAGGGAAAGCACAATCAAAGCACCCTTGACAGATGGCCATCCAGCCTTAATAATACAACAACAATAATAATAATAATAATGAGAGTTTTCACCTCTTGGCCCAGGAAGTCAGGCAGACAGGAAGGCAGGCAGGCAGGTCGCTGAGCTGAGGTCCTCCTTCACTGCGCTCCATTGGGGCCCAGCTGGGCCCAGGAAGGACAGAAGCAGCGTGAGGAAGGAGCCTGCTTCTGGCAAAGCTGCTTCAGCCCACATGGCTGCCTCCGGCCTCACAGCCAGCCGTGCTCCCAGGCAGGGCTTGGGCCCTGCAGGGAACGTTTTGGCCTACTGGTCCCTCCCCCAAGCCTGGCGGGAAGCGCGGGGAGGCCAAGCCGTGCTCCCAGGCAGGCCCTGGGCCCTGCGGGGAGCATTTTGGCCTCCTCGCGCTTCCCGCCGGGCTCGGGGGGAGGCGCGGGAAACGTGAGCCATCCACCCTGTGGGGAGCCATTTTGATGAGGGGGCGGGGCCAACGGAGACTGCCTCGCGACCCCTCGAAAATGGCCAGGCGACCCCCCGGGGGGTCGCGACCCCCAGGTTGAGAACCGCTGGTTTAGGGCTTTATATGGTGACTTCCTTCTTAACATTGTAAACATTTATCTTATCACTGTCCAGATTTTATCACAGTTTTATTTTCAGTTCTTATTAGTGACTTTTAATTACAATCCAGTAGGCAGGTAATTAGTCATTGCAGGCCTTAATATTTTAGTGGTGTTTCCAAAATTACTGACTCCTTTTATTCATCCTTCCATTCTTCCATTCATTCCCACACATGATATTAATATACACATTGATCAAATCTGCATATTCAATTTTCGTGACACCCTCTTGTGGGCAAGGGACTATTTCACTCGCCTTGAGATTCTGGTCTGCAGTCCTTTGCTCCCATTGAGTGGACACTTAGGGAAGTGCGCCCTTGAGCCTTGGAGGCGCCCCTGTGCTGCCATCCTGTGGACAGAGTGGGAAGCTGCGCCTCTATATTATATTCCCCTCCCCAAAGGAGGAAGGCAAGCAAGAACAACAAAGAAGGGAAAGAAGGAGGCATGATGAAACCTTCACGTGGTCTCCAAAAGGTCCCAAATGTTTCCTGCTTCTGAAAGGCTTCCCTGACCAGGGGCAAAGTTACAATTTTTCACCCTTTAACAGACCTTTAACTGGCAGCTGGGGGAGAAATATCTCTGGACGAGGCATGTTTTTAATAATGTTTTGTTGAAGGCTTTCATGGCCGGAATCACTGGGTTGCTGTACATTTTTTGGCTTGTCTGGCCATGTTCCAGCAGCATTCTCTCCTGACGTTTTGCCTGAACCTGTGGCTAATGGCACCTTCAGAGGTTCTGCAAGTAAGCAAATGGAATAGTGTATATATTCCTGTGAAATAATATCCAGGGCGGGAGAAAGAACCCTTGTCTGTTTGAACCAAGGGTGAATGTTGCAATGAACAAGCTTGAATTAGCATTGGAGTAGCCATGAAGTCTGCAGAGTCAATCAGTGACTTTGTTGCCTGGAGGCACCCTCTGTTTGGGAGGTGTTAACTGGCACCTGATTGCTTGCTGTCTGGAGTTCTCCTGTTTCTGAGTGCTGGACACAGAATCTTATTTGAAAACGCAGAAATGCTGGGCCATTCACACCTGCTTCAAGCAGACAAGGGTTCTTTCTCCCACCCTGGACATTATTCCACAGGGATAGAGACACTCCACTTGCTTCATTGTCCAACAGAACCTCTGAAGACCCTGATGTTTGCATTTCTGGGTGTTTCCATTTTCAACATGACCCATGAAGGGAAAGGGGAAAATCGTGGAGGTAAAGGAAGGTTCTCGCCTTCATCCTTGATCTTTTGCTTCTTTCTTAACCAGGGAAATGAGGATTCTATGGAGCCACCCCTTGGATGCAGCAATGAAATCAATAATATAGGAAGAAGAACTTCTCTCTAGGTGAGGGTCTTGCTGAAATCTTGACCTCACGTACAGACAAGGAAGGAAAAAAGAAGACTGAAGCATCTGTATTGCAATCAAACACCCATATCATGGCTGACATGAAGGAGAAAGCATTTATATGCCTGGAATGTGGGAGGAGTTTCACTCAGAGAGGTCATCTGAAGCGACATCAAAGGATTCACACGGGGGAGAAACCCTATACATGCCTGGAGTGTGGAAAGAGCTTCTCTGAGAGTGGTAGTCTACGTAGACATCGAAGGATTCACACAGGGGAGAAACCCTATACATGCCTGGAGTGTGGGCAGAGCTTTACTACGAGTGGAAATCTACATAACACCAAAAGATTCACACTGGGGAGAAACCCTATATGTGCCTGGAGTGTGGGCAGAGCTTCACTAAGAGTGGAAGTCTACGTTCACATCAAAGGACTCACACTGGGGAGAAACCCTATAAATGCCTGGAGTGTGGAAAGAGCTTTACTCAAAGTCTACGTTCACATCAAAGGACTCACACTGGGGAGAAACCCTATAAATGCCTGGAGTGTGGACAGAGCTTCAATATCAATGGAAATCTACGTAGACATCAAAGGACTCACACAGGGGAAAAATCCTTTAAATGCCTGAAGTGTGGACAGAGCTTCATTGATAATTCAAGTCTACATAGACATCAAAGAACTCACACTGGGGAGAAACCTTATACATGCCTGGACTGTGGGCAGAGCTTCACTCAGGGTTCAAGACTGCGTTTACATCAAAGGACTCACACTGGGGAGAAACCCTATAAATGCCTGGAGTGTAGTCAGAGCTTCACTCAGGGTTCAAGTCTGCATTCACATCAAAGGACTCACACTATACGTGAGTCGAGAGAGAGTGTGCTAGATGGCTTCTACTAGAGGTGAATCCAGTCGGACTGTAAACACACATAAGAGGATTCATCCACATGGTCGTGTTCCTCTAATCCTCTGTGTTCTTTTACACGTCGGTCCTTCTGTATGCCGTCAGCACTCGTTGGTGTCACGCAAGAGCTGGGAGCGACCAATCGACTCATGACATCTGAACACTAGAGCGATAGTGATTCACACGACGTGTCGATAACTAATCCTTATTCTTCTATCACTACTGGGGAGCCATATACATGCCTGGAGTGTGAGAAGAGACTCAGAGTGGAAGTCTACGTTCACATCAAAGGATTCACACTGGGGAGAAACCCTATAAATGCCTGGAGTGTGGGCAGAGCTTCACTCAGAGTGGAAGTCTACGTTCACATCAAAGGACTCACACTGGAGAGAAACCTTATACATGCCTGGAGTGTGGAAAGAGCTTTGCTCAGAGCTCAACTCTACGTTCACATCAAAGGACTCACTGGGGAGAAACCCTATAAACACATCGTGTGTGGGAAAAGCTTCTCTGAGAGTAGAAATCTACATAGACATAGAATCCACACTGGAGAGAAGAGTGGTGTTTGACACCAAAGACAGTTTCCCAGAAAGAGCTTTCCAGACTTTTCCGTTGATCAAACATTTTTTAGACATGCATCCTTTTGTGACACAGTAATTTAGTTTAACTAGCAAACCAGAGGTTAAACAACCTCATATAAGATGTTCAATATAATACTATATTACATAATATTAGCTCTACCCAGCCACGTGTTGCTGTGGCCCATTTTGGAGCAATGGGAAAGAGGGAAAAGTGGAAGAGCTGGTTTCTAAACTATCAATACACAACTGAAGGGGCAAAGTGTCAACCCAACATAGGCGCATTTCAGTCTCCTCGAGGCCAAAGGATTATATGGGTGTGTGGAAGGGCTCTGGGTTGCCTGAGTCCACACTCCATATAATCCAGTTCAAAAATATTATATAGGTATTGTTGTTGTTATAGACATACAGATATTATTATAGGCATATATATTATTTTTATTATTTATATATAGATATTATTATTATTATAGACATAGATATTATAGGCATATAGGTATTATTATTATAGATGTATAGATATTATTAACAGATATTATAATAATAGACATGGATATTATTATAGACCTATATATTATTATAAGCATATAGACATTCTTATTGCAGGCATACATATATTATTATAGGCATGTAGATATTATTGTTATAGACCTATAGATATCATAGACACACACACACACACATATAATGGACTTATAGATATTATTATGATAGATATATAGATAATATTGTAGATATATTATAGCCCAGGGTTGCTATAAAGTAAAAATGGATGGCCATCTTTTGGGAGTGTTTTGATTGTGCCTTCCTGGACAGTCTTTCCTAACTCACAGAGTGTGCGTTTTTGTCCTTTCTTTGAATGTGGACTTCATTTCCCAGAATTCCTTCCCATAACTCAATATGGATGAGCTTTCTGGGCACACACACACACAGAATCCCTCCCGTGTGAGTTCCCAGCAGCCCAGCAGAGGCACCTCCATGCTGCCGACAACCAAGACCCGAGAGGGAAAGGAAAGGAAAGGAAAGGAAAGGAAAGGAAAGGAAAGGAAAGGAAAGGAAAGGAAAGGAAAGGAAGGGGGTGGATTTGGAGGAGGATGTCCTCTCGCCCTCCCTCCTTCCCTCCCTCCCTCTGAATCCTTTGGGAAGAGAGAGGCAGGGGTAGGAAGAGGGATATACGGGCCACCTTTCCCTCCCTCTCTCTATCTGCCTCTCTCTCAGCTGTTGTTTATCTCCCTTGGTGCAGGAGGGAGGGGCGGGGGAGGGTGTCCCTTTAACGCATGCTTTGTATAGTCATTTAGGTTTGTGGGGGTTTAAGTTCTTCCCATTTTGGGGGGGGGGGGTTGTGAAGGACATACATTGGTTTAGTTGGTGTCTTGTGTCCAAATTTGGTGTCAATTCGTCCAGTGGTTTTTGAGTTCTGTTAATCCCACAAATGAACATTACATTTATATTCTTTATTTAGTTAATGAGATATAGCTTTTCTCCTAGAGCTGCAAGTATACAGAACTCTGTGGTTTTGCATTGATGTTGCATTGGGGGCTGTGTGGTGGTGGTTGGGGTGTGGAGGGACGGGTGTGCTGGTTTTGTGATGTGTGCTGAGAAAAGCATTGGATTTGGTTTTGCCGTGTACAACGACAATAAAGTTACTCTATAATTCCATTCTATATCATCTTTACCCTCTAAACCAGGGGTCCTCAAACTAAGGCCCGGGGGCCGGATACAGCCCTCCACGGTCATTTACCCGGCCCTTGCTCAGGGTTAACCTAAGTCTGAAAGGACTTGAAAACACACAACAACAACTACAACAACAATCCTACCTCATCAGCCAAAGGCAGGCCCACACTTCCCACTGAAATACTAATAAGTTTATATTTCTTAAAACTGTTCTTCATTTTAATTTTTGTATTGATTTAAAGTGTTTTTTGCACTACAAATAAGAGAAGTGCAGTGTGCAAAGGAATTCATTCATGTTTTTTTCAAATAATAATCCGGCCCGCCAACAGGTTGAAGGGCTGTGACCTGGCCCTCTGTTTAAAAAGTTTGAGGACCCCTGCTCTAAACCAATTATTCGGCATTGCCGAAGGCTTTCATGGCCAGAATCACTGGGTTGCTTGAGGTTTTTGGGCTGTATGACCATGTTCTGTAGTATTCTCTCCTGACGTTTTGCCTCTCCTGACATTTCTTCAGAGGTCTGTTGGAAGTCTGGGACTCTGGTGCTCATCTCCATTTCTAAGCCAAAGAGCTGCCATTGTCCGTAGACACCTCCAAGGTCATGTTGTTGCGGCAGATACGTTACCCAGAAGTTCATTCGAGTGCTTTAGAAGAAGGAAAAGGATGGAGACCGCATATCCGATTTCCAGGCTTTATTACTATCTCTGCAGAGTAGAGGGTGAACAGCAAGCAAAGGGCTGAAATTGTGCAACTGATCTGCTGCTGAATTGTGAAGTTAATCTCAACACGGGGAGTTTCAGAAAAACATCTGTTTCTGTTTTATTGACTAGTCTAAAGCCTTTGACTGTGTGGATCATAATACATTGTGGCAAGTTCTTGGAATGTATGGGGAGATCAAGCCACCTTGTCTCTCTCCTGAGAAATCTGTATAATGATCAAGTAGCAACAGGAAGAAGAGACTATGGAACAACAGACTGGTTCCAGATTGGGAAATGCGTACGGCAGGGTTGTATCCTCTCGCCCAACCTATTCAGCTTATATGCAGAACATATCATGCGATGTGCGGGGCTTGACGAATGCAAGGCTGGGGTTAAAATTGCTGGAAGAAACATTAACAACCTTGCATATGCAGATGATGCCAGTTTGATGGCCAAAAGCAAGGAGGAGCTGAGGAGCCTTCTCACCAAGGTGAAAGAAGAAAGCGCAAAAGCTGGGTTGCAGGTAAACATCAAAAAGACCAAGATTATGGCAATCGGATTGATTGATAACTGGCAAATAGAGGGAGAAAACATGGAGTCAGTGACAGATTTGGTGTTTCTAGGTGTAAAGATGAGTGCAGACGCAGACCGACGCCAGGTAATCAGGAGACGCTTCCTTCTTGGGAGGAGAGCAAGGACCCATCTCAATAAAAGAGTGAAGAGTAGAGACATCGCACTGGCAGCGAAGATCCACATAGTCAAAGCAATGGTATTCCCCGTAGTCACCTACGGATGTGAGAGCTGGACCAGAGGGAAGGCGGAGCGAAGGAAGAGAGATGCTTTTGAACTGTGGTGCTGGAGGAAAGTGCCAAGAGTGCCTTGGACTGCGAGAAGATCCAACCAGTCCATCCTCCAGGAAATAAAGCCCGACTGCTCATTGGAGAGAAGGAGATGAGAGGCCAAGAGGAAGTCCTTTGGCCACATCATGAGAAGAAAGGGAAGCTCAGGGAAGGGAATGATGCTGGGGCAAGTGGAAGGAAACAGGAAGAGGGGCCGACCAAGGGCAAGAGGGATGGACAGCATCCTTGAAGTGGCTGGCTGAACCTTGAAGGAGCTGGGGGTGGCGACGGTCAACAGTGAGCTCTGGCCTGGGCTGGTCCAGGAGGTCACAA